CGGATCTATTAACAGTCGTGACCATTCGCCATCGCCGTGGCGCTTCCCAACACCCGCAGACCCGATCCAACAGATAAAGGCCCAAGAGGGCAGAAACCGAAGTCTGTCACCAGCTTACAAAATCGGTGGTAACTTGGCACCTCCTCCAGTCGACGCCGTACCACAAAGACAGGACAGTGGGGGGAGCGAACCGTTGGAGGCTCGGCCATCACCTGGTCAACTTTCCCTCCAAATACCAAGTCGGCGTGGCAGCATGAGCGTCGGATCTTCGCCTGCATCGCCCTTCCCTGGTTACACCGAATCGCCTCTTGTTTTAACGCCTGCTGCTCAGACCGAACCGACCGAGTTTTTTGCGCCGCCTGGACCGGCTCGCCTCGAAGTGCCATTTGCGCCTTATGAGATGGCCAACCCCAAACCTGTAAGGTGGTGGCCATACGCCATTCTGCCTCCGCCGCACATCTTTTGGGCAACATTGTTCCCGACTCTGCTAGGATGGAAGCAGAAAAGCCACTGGGACAGATTTGTCAGTGCTATATCTGTACCAAGCATCTTGCTCTTGGTGTTGACACTTCCGGTTGTCGAAAATGAGAGTGCGGATGATTCATCCGACGAGACTGCCGTGGATCCCATGATGCGAGACCACTCCCACTGCGACGCTCCAGTGCCTGCCGACGCCTACGACGACAATGAGGGAGAGACGGAGTGGCAGCGCTTCAGACGGGCTACTCTGTCGCACTCTCGTGGGCAGTCACTTGATCACTCCCCCAAGGGCTCTCCAGCGCTCATTGCTATCGATTCTCCGAGTGGTGCGCGTGTGGCAACTGAAATACCTACGAGTCACCCACAAGCCATAAAACCCGCCAAGCCGTTGCCTTCGGAGAGCAGTCTAGCTCCTGTAGACGAGTCGGGACATTGGAACAGATGGCTCGTCGCGATCCAGCTCTTCACCGGGCCTTTGTTCGCCGTCATCATTCTCTGGGCAAACATGAAGGAAGACTTCCAACAACCCTACAAGGTCCTCGTCAGACTCATCCTGTATACACTCCTAGGATCCACAATTCTTCTCGGCTTCCTTCTCCTATCGACTAGTCCTGATAAGAAGCCAAAGTACCATTTCTTGCTTTGCTTCATGGGTTTCATCATTGCCATCGCCTGGATTTCTACCATCGCCGGAGAAGTCGTCGGTGTCTTGAAAGCAGTCGGCGTCATTTTCGGCATATCAGAAGCCCTCCTGGGCCTGACCATCTTCGCAGCGGGCAACAGTGTGGGCGATCTAATTGCCGATATCACCGTTGCCCGGCTCGGTTTCCCCGTCATGGCATTGTAAGTCTTCACCTACCTATCTCCACATACCGACGACAGCCATGCTAACTACTTTTAGGTCTGCGTGCTTTGGTGGGCCAATGCTCAATATCCTGCTCGGTATAGGAATCGGCGGCGTCTACATGATGGTCCAGGCCGCCAACCACCGACATAAGAAACACCCAGACAAGCCATTCAAGTACCACTCGTACAACATTCAAATTGGAGGCACGTTGATGATCTCGGCCATCACGCTACTCATCACACTGCTTGGCCTCCTCATCATCGTACCTATGAACAAGTGGGTGATGTCACGGAAGATCGGTTACGGTCTCATTGTGTTGTGGATGATCAGCACCATCGTCAACGTTGTTGTCGAGCTGACCGGAGTGTGGACTGACGTGTCCTATTCCCTATCTTTCTAACGGTACATTTCTCCCTTTTGACTGCTGGCACACGTACAGACTGTATCAATATTGCGTTATTGCATTGCGCCGTATGAGTATACCCAAGCATAGCGTGCGACGAGAAGAATAAACGAAAACTCTCTGTCTTTCCACTTATAGACAGTCCTTACCTTCTGAGTACAAAAGAGGAAACACGAATCTACATATACATTAGTTTATAAAAATAAATAACACAGATGCTAGCGTCCCTCTTACACAAGCATCTCGGTTGGCTTGATACCTCATTAGCTTCTTTAACGTGTCAAAGTCTCGTGATGTGTTGGTGATGGTTGCTGTTTCATCTAGCGAACAGCTTTTTCTACGAACGAGGTTGAAGGCACTCAGGCACGGTCCTACGTTGCAGACGTTGATTACCATCTGATGTGTTTCTGTCTTCCTTTCCGTACGTGCACCACCAGACCCCTTGTGAGCGAAAGGGCATCAGTAACCGAAGTTGTGACGTGTCCCAACCAGCGTATTGAGACGAACATTATGGAATGCCAACTACGCAATGTGCAGCGTTGCGATGCCAAGACTTAAAGCAAACGCTTCATCTGGTGTTGATCTCTCCTTTCTGTTTCTAGAGCTCAGCTCAGCTCAGCACAGCTCCGTGTGTGCAAGTACATGTACGTCTGAGTGTGGTTGCCAAGACATGTCATTATGTACACCTTTTTGTGTTTTGGCCAACTTATGCCCTTCCACGAGGGGGGGACGGCGCGTCACTTTGGTGACTGACAACATTGGATCATTGACAGACGATAAGAGCAGTAGTAAAGTATAAAATGAGATTTGAATGACCGAGCAAAGGCTCTTCCTGGTGTGAGGTCATTCCAGTTCATGCCAACCTTGGTTATAACAAGCCACGCAAAACAAATCACACTCAACTCGGATTTCACTTGCCCTACCAGTTTCTACCTCACTACCTACCCAAAAAGGTTGAGAATTTCAGACACCCAACATGGGAGGCTTTGACAAACTCACAGATTTGGCCCAGCAACTCGCCGGCAAAGACCAAGGCAAGAAGGATCAACAACAGCAGCAGCGGGATTCGTCAATTCCTCAGACAACGACAACGACTACCACGAACGGCCAGGAATGGGCGGATGTCGGGTCAGCCGCCAAAAAGGCCTTTGCTGGATTCCAGGCGGATCAAGCTGGCGGCAAGGGACCTGATTACACCGAGATTGGGGATGTTGCGCAGAGGGCTTTCACGGCTTATAACCACGGCGGTGGTGGTGAGGAGGGAAAGAAGGATCTTGCTAAGATTGAGAAGGACCTCGCTACTAGGTTTGGCGGCGGTGATGGTGAGAAGATGGAGGAGGGGAAGTTGGGAGGGACTGATGGTAAGTTGGAGGCTGGGGAGGGGACTGGTGAGGTTGAAGGTGAAGGTGAAGGGCAAGGTGAAGGGAAGCAGACCAAAGTCCAACGTGATGATGGTCTGGCCGTTTCGAGGTCAAATGCGAGGGATACCACTGAGGGCGAGACGCTCCCTGAAGGGGAATCCGACTCTTCTGCTGAGAAGAAGGGATTCGGCTCTCACACCAAGCGAGAGGCCGGTGACGGTACCGGATTCGAGAAGGGGGGTTTGCGTGAAGATGAGGATGTCTTTAATAGTAGTGAGGGCAAGACCGACATCACTAGAAGCGGCGAGACGACGACCTCTGGGCAAGGTAAGTTTGGTCCTTCGATTGACGTCCTCACTCTGAGTTACTTTATTCAACTGATGCTGGCCATGAAATAGGACTCGGTCGTCGGGCACAGCAGCCTGTGGGCGGTACCGGTGACGAAGAAGAGACTCTTGGGAATCAGCCGGTCAAGAGATGGATTGAGTGAGGCGGCAACATCTTGCAAGGGAAATTGTCAAAAACGTGCTACTTGTGCCGAAGGTGTTTACGATTGACCTCCAGGGCTCTCGCTGGCTCGAACGTCTAAGATGAGAGAGTGACTCACTCACATATTATTGCTGCTAGCCGGACTGTTTCGAAACAGAGGCGCAGCATGATCGTCACTGGGTAAGGGTGGTAGTTGATTATTTCGCGTAGTTGTCGGATTGCGTGTTAGCTTAGAAACATTGAAGAGAGATATCTGTCCTCTAGCAACCAGTGAGTAATGGTAGATTGGTCGTGTAATTGATGGAAGGTATGCACCGACGTCAAGGCACCCAAGGTACTAAGGTGAAGGTCACCAAGTCGGAGCCGGGGACGGCTCCACCCTCGAGCCCCGGAGCACGCATCCCTGCCGGGGGGCCGCCGCAAGGGGCAGTATTCCCAGCCCGTTCCAGGTCCCATCACAAGCCCACGATCCTCCGTCGCCTAGCGTATTCTTAGTGCCCTCCTAGTCCGCTGTAAATTGCAATCTATCGTTCCTTGCGCCTCATAGTGATCTGCTCAGGGAACCTAACTTCCAGGTTCGCAGAGGCCACGATGTCTACATCTCCCCCCCGGTATTACCACGTTCCTGGCGGAAACAAAACAACTCGTCATCTCAGCACTGCCCCAATACATGGCGTAGATGATCCAGCGGGCGAGTTTCAGACGTGATCACTTGAATGGCGTATCTCATCTCGTTTCAATGCCAATGCCTTCGTATCGTTGCCGTTTGCACATAGGGGTCAGAGGCAAGCTGTCCACAGCTCGGTGTAATAATAGCGAAGTTGATGAGGTAGACAAGGACAGATCATCAAGAGATGGGCAATTAAGAGATCTGGCAAGTTGGAAGATGTGATTGTGTTCGGTCAGCAGACAATTGCGAATCTATTGTCAAATCATACCTGCCAATGCTTGTGGTAAACATTGAAGAAAGATACAGCTTCAGGAAAAGTTATAAATCAAGTTCGACATCGCACTGATTCGAACCCGATGTTCTTGGTTCTTCGCACCTGCAGCTCAAAGCCCACCCAACTGCCCACTCCGTACTACACCTTACACAAGGCCCAGACCCAGACCCATTAGAGGGGGACCCTTGAACCGCAACAAGCACCAGTGCACCACAGTACCTCACTTGCCCCGCCATCCAAAAAGCAACCCCGCGCCGCGCCTGCCACATCCCGAAAAGGAGAGCTTCCTTTCCTGCACGATTGACCGCCCTCCCTTTGCTCAACTTTCCCATTGGACTTTTCCCCATCCCTCCTCCCATCCCTCGAAGCGCGCAATTCTCACGACAAAGCTTCTTTCCTCAAAGCTTCACCACCAAACGCAATACCGAAATTGAACCTGCATTGTGCCAGCATTCACAAGAACAAACACCGTCACGATGGCTACCTCTCTCCCCAGCTACCCTCCCCTCACGGAGCGCCCTCTGAAGAACACCATCTGCCTCTTTGACGTCGACGGCACCCTCACTCCCGCTCGTCTGGTAAGCTCCTCTTCCAAAATCAGATTTTAAATACCTCCGGCCTCCTCCCAGCTCCACTCCTTCCCAGAGAAATTGCTCGTCGCATTACACCAGGAAATCCCATCCAAGCTAACACCTCCTTCCCCCCCTTCCTCCAGGCCGCCTCCCCGGAGATCCTCGACCTCCTCGCCCGCCTCCGCCAAAAGTGCGCCATCGGCTTCGTCGGCGGCTCCGACTACTCCAAGCAGCAAGAGCAGCTCGGCAACGCCACCACCCCCGTCACCACCCTCTTCGACTTCTGCTTCTCCGAGAACGGCCTGACGGCCTACAAGCTCGGCCAGCCCCTCGCCTCCAACAGCTTCATAAAGTACATTGGCGAGGACCAGTACAAGGAGCTCGTCCGCTTCGCCCTCCACCACATCGCCGACCTCGACATCCCCATCAAGCGCGGCACCTTTATCGAGTTCCGCAACGGCATGGTCAACATCTCCCCCATCGGCCGCAACGCCTCCAACGAGGAGCGCCAGGCCTTCGAGGCCTACGACAAGATCCACAACGTCCGCCGCGACTTCGTCGCCAAGCTCCGCGAGAAGTTTGGCCACCTGGGCCTGACGTTCAGCATCGGCGGCCAGATCTCGTTCGACGTCTTCCCCACCGGCTGGGACAAGACGTACTGCCTCCAGCACCTCGAGAGGGAGGCGGAGAAGGAGGGCGGCGTCAAGTACGAGCAGATTCACTTCTTTGGCGACAAGACGGCCGAGGGCGGAAACGACTACGAGATTTACGTCGACGAGCGCACCATTGGTCACTCTGTTACCGGCCCCGAGGATACCATTCGCATCCTCAAGGAGACGTTTGACTTGTGAACCGCGGCGGAGAGGAGTAGGCTCTGAGAGGGAATCTTACAAATGGACTTGCAAGCCGGAATAAATGAACCTAGCTTGACCAGCGAATGAAGCCAACGAAAATGGGGTTGAGATGTCATGGGGCCAGCTTTCTAGACTTTGTGGTCGTGGGCTGTGGCCTTGGGGAACAACAGACCTGCGACATGTCGAGAGCGGCCATAACAGGCCCGCTTTCGAGACTTGAATTTTCAGTAGAGCAGCAAATGGAAATGAAGTACAATGATCACTCAAAATAGTAGATGATGGCAAAAGTCACAATGTCGCGTACGAGCTGCGAGAATCAATGTTGTAGATTTGAAGTATATCATCAGGTCGTCAAGCTACCGCTGTATACCTTGGGGATGGGGTTGCTAGAGAGAAAGGCAGAGAGATATTAAAGTAAATCCAAGAAAAAATGACAACACCATCACCATCACCATCACCATCACCATCACCGTCCACACCCGCCCACCTCTTCTTTACCTCCCAAACTCCAAATGGGGCACAATCACCGGCCCATACTTTGTCGGCGCCGTAAACGCACCATCACCCTGCACGACAAAATCCACCGCCAAACTCAACTTTTGCAACCCCTGTTGCTGCTGCTGCTGTTGTCCTCCGTTGACGATGCTACCCGCATACTGCGACCCACTGACACCACCAGGACCACCGGCGACGGTCTCTGGGTCGTACGCCACGACGGCGACGTAGTTCCTGCGTCCCATGAGCTTCTTGAGCTCGCGCGCGGAGCCCGAGGCGTCGGTGTGGAAAATCTCCATCATGTCCTCCTTGGAATCGGACACCTCGTGATTGGACTTGTGGCCGTTTTGCGGCACGTAGAGGCTCTTGTTGTTGTGGAGGAGCTTGAGGATGTAGTTGCTCGCGGGCTGGGCTACGATGGGGGAGGTGATTACTTGGTACATTGTCTTGTGGTCGCTCGGGTGGGTTGGGTCGTGGACCAGGCCTGCTCCTGCGCAGTTGACGTCTGCGTGGCATTTGTCAGTGGGTTGGGACAAACATGAGAAAAAGGGAAGAGTCGTTGGGTTTGGGAACTCACCTCCTGACAAGAAAGTCATGCGAATGCCCTTTTGCTGGGAGATGCCTTGGAGCGTGCGGATAAAGTACGTCCTCTCCAGGTCCTTGGACTCGTGCGTCCACATGTCCTTGAGGATCTCGGCAATGTCAATCTCGCCAAACTGGTTCAGGACGTTGCCCATGAGACCAGACTTGCCGACTGCCTTCTTCACCTGCGTGAAGCCCTGCGCGACAACGTCCTTACCGCCAACGACGCCGGCCACGGAGCTCGTAACCTTACCGAGGATGTTGTACGAGGTATTGACAACCTTTTTGCCCGTCGCGACGGCGCCTGCCAAGCTCTCGACCGCCTCGAGGCGCGGGTACAGCAGCGGCACGGAGACCATCCAGATGCAGTGCTGTACGCTGGGAGGCAGCGTCGCGACCTTGGGGAATATGCCCTGGTAGGTCGGCCCGGCCATGACGCGGGCTTGGTTCCTCTCGGAGCGGCAGTCTGGTCCGACGACGCAGACGGCTGGACCGAGGTACTTGACAAAGTGCCACCCTTGGCCGGTGATTGTAAAGAGGTCCATGTCGTTACTGACGTTGCGGAGGATCTCTACCGTGGTGTGATGCTGAAAGAGAAGGTACATCTCGACGGCAATGCGACCTACGTTTTTGAACATTTGGGACCCTTGCATGTACTCGGGATACGAGCCGTAGCCGTCGAAACTGGGCCAGGTCAGTTATTTCACATATCAAAAGGTACAAAACTGCACTTACATGTCATGGTCGTCAATCTGCAAAACATGCGGAATCTGAGCAAAGGCCTCTCGTAGGTAAGGCTGGTCAAAGTGGCTGGTATAGTAATGGAAGTAGGCGTGCGAGACGTCCTCCTCGTGGCGCGCGGTCCATTGCGCGTTCTTCCTGTTGTCTCTGCCGCTCATCGCCAACCACTGCTTCAGCAGGGGCACCTCTTTCCATAGTCTGTCACCGTAAATTTGGTTGCCCATTCCGAGCTGAACGTGGAAGCCGCCGCAGTCGACGTTCTTTTGAAGCACGTCCTTCCACATGAAGCCCACGCCACCGAGTTTGGAGCGCTCGGCCTGAGATGTTGAGGCGGCAAAGTCGTTGTTCGAGTGAGCGATGAACCTCCAGCCGACTTCATGGCGGCCGGCAATGACAAACTCGTATCTCGTGCATCCCAGATGAGAAGTGACTGCGTACGTCCATCTCTCGGTCCCGCTCTCACTCATGGGCAGCTCAATATCGTACTTGTAAAACGTCCAGCGCTGATGAGTGAAGATATTGTGCGGCACCAACTGTCGCGGGTTAGGTGAAAGGTCGTTGCTCGGGTGAATGTGAATGGTCGGGGGCTGCGGTGCGTCCGTCACGATCATGATGCTACCCAGCCATGTCCCCTTTTCAAAGTCCATGTTGCAGTAGCGGAGATACGGTCCAAAGTATACACCATTCGTGGGCTGGATCCTGTACATGTCAACACCGGCGCTTGGAGGTGGTCCAGAAAATCCAGCAGTTGTAGGCGTTTGGGACGCAGCAACACTCATGATGCTCTCAGCATAGCCCGGTGTCTGAGGGGGAAACATTGGAGAGGCCATGGCCTGCTTGCCAAACATGGGCGATGCGAGTGGGTTGCCGTACGTCGACGCCGTAGGAGACAAGGGAGCTGCCTCGTGTGTAATAGGATTGGGCCCCTTGGGGAACTCCCATTGCGTCGCCTGAGAAGCCAGATGAATATAATAGTACTGTCCCGAGTTCTGGTCTAGGTGGGCGATCCAGCCCTCGGGTAGCGGTGGCGGCGAAGAAGGGCCAGCGCCTTGGAAGGAAGGAGGTGCTTGTACAGTCTGCGTGACAGGGGCATTCTGTGCTTGGGATGACGAGGGCTGTCCGTTTTGCTCTGGCCTCGGGTCGTTGGCAAAGGCGGGGTGGCCTTGCAACGAAGGTGACGCGAGCCCGGCTGCTGCAGGGCCGACAGTCGCGGGCTTCTTCGGGGGCGACTGAGCAGCAGAGGCCGTGGACACGGACGGCGTTGAATCTGCCCTTTGCTGAGTGGGCCGTTGCTTCTCGGCTGGGTAAGATGGGTTGCCTGAAGGCGTGACACTCGAGTAGGCTGGCGGGGGATCGTTCAAGCCTAGTCGCTGATAATCCTGCTCCAGAACGCTGACTTGCAGGTTCGTCTGTTCCCCTTGGTTCTCTGCTTGTTGAGGGGGAGGACTGAAGGTAGGTTGCGTAGGACTCGTAACTGGGTTCATGCCCTGGTATACTGTGGGCGGACCATGAGGTTGGTTCTCTGGGTTCTCCGTGGGAGTCCATGGCCGCGCGGGTGGTGGTGCTCCTCCATACTGCGCCAATCTCTGGGAAGCTGCAGCGCTCTGTGCCTGTTGCGCCTGCAGGCTGGTCAGTGTCGCCGTGCCCGAGATGCCAGAGGCGGCATATCGCGCCTCGATACCGCCGCCCGGGATGACCCCTGGTTCAACGATTGGGGTCTCTGGCGGGGGTGGGGATCCTCGGCTGGCGCGGGTTGTGGAGGTTGAAGCTGTCGAGGCGAACCTGTTCACGCTGTTCTGGCCGGGCATCTCGAGATGATCAGCGCTCTGAGCACTCTGAGGTGGTGGCCGGGCCTGGTACTGGCTCTGGCTCTGGGCGGGCGGCGTAGAACTGGATGCGCCACCCGGTGGCGGGTAGTAGGGCTTCTTGGTGTAAGACGGGTAGTTTGTAGTCGAAGCAGCCGGTCGCTGAGGTTGCGGCGCCGTCAGGGGCTTCGCGAAAAGGCCGCCGTCGTCGCCAGCCGGGCTCTGAGGAGATGTGGCGCCCAAGGGCCTCGGACCGGTGCCGCGTCGCTCGGCGAGGGTAGGACTCTTGGTCTCTACGGGGCTGGTCGCATTGAAGCGCGGGGTAGTATCATTGTAGTCGGAGCCAAATCGCTTCGGGGCGGTGATGGTGGGTTTGGTAGGTTTTCCAGGTCGAAGATCCTCCTCGTCGGGATACGGCAGAGGGGCAGCTGAGCTCGAGGCGCCTGGTGGTAGAGGGAAGGTCGGCTTCGATGTGAAGGAGGAGGAGCCAGAGGCGGACGGAGGCGCGGGGTACTTGAAGCGGTCGTTGGCGGGGTTGGGACTCTGAGGTTTGAATATTCTCAAGGGTTCAACGGTCGGGCTATCGCAGTCTTCTTCGGCGGGCTTGTGAAGGAACAGTTCGGCATCGGGAAGGCCGCGACTGCGCTCCATGATGGGCGGCGATGTGGTATCGTCGAATCTGGCCAAAGATAGATATGTACGGATATCTGGGGGCCGGCCGACTTGCGCAGGTACGCGGATGCTTGATGCGGGATGCGAATGACGCACTGCGAGAGCTCAAGTCTGCAGGTCAGGGGGAGCAAAAAGTTATTTATAGGAGCTGTCGAAGGTCGAGGTTTCGTGCCTATCGTTGGATGCTTGAGAGGATCGCAGCTGCTGATGAGGGGTGGTGGGGTCCAGGTTCGAGTCTCACGGGAGAGGTCGCAGATATGGCCGGCCGGTTGTTAGGCCCGTCAGATGGATGAAACGGCTGCGGCACGGAAACAAAACCAGTGTATTTTCCAAACGTGTGTTTTTCAAGAGAAAAAAAAAGGTCAGAAGCCGAGAACTATCAACCAGAGGGGAGAGCGCGTCCAGGACGAAGAATAAGAACGTGCCAGATAGGACGACAGGAGCAGGAGGGAAGCAAGCAAGCGCCAGGTAGGGTTTGGGTCTGGCAGCGGGAAGCATTGGGCAAAGTGCAAAGCGGCAGCATAAGGTAGGGACATGGGGCCAGGATGGGGATGGGATGGGACCGGGAACCAGGGGGGGAGGCGCTCGCCAGCGGCAGAGAAGAGAGAGAGGGGTGGGAAACTTGGATATTCGTCAAGGCATAGGCAGGCCGCACCGCCGCACACAGACTGTAGACACCACCACCTCACACGGGAGGGCGTGGCCGGGCTGGCATGGCATTTGCAGGGAATGGGCGAGATGGGTCTCGTCGCCGCCTCGGTGGCCTCCTCGACGATGAGAGTGAGCCAGCTGCCCAGGAGTGTCGAGAGAAACAAGTGGTTGAGTTTGCAGTCCCAGGCAGTGGTGACCAGTGACCAGTGACCAGGAGCCAAAGAGCCTGAACAACGTCGATGTATGGAGCCCTGCATGGTGGCATCTTGTTCTACTGCGTAGCGAAGCTTCATGATTGGCTGTGTATCGTGGGCGCTTAGAGAATGGTGCAGCAGCAAATGGGCAATCTTCATCTCGAAGTTGCAAGCGCCTGCCCATGACTGTGAAGCTCTTGGCTCGAAAGAAGTTCCCAGTCTTTCCAGATTCCTAGAGAGCCGTGAGAGCCTAGAGCGTGGTAGCGGAGCCACTTGAGCTCGTAATGCGCATAGAGGGAGATGAGAGTGATGAAGAGTGATTTGTCGAGTGCGGCATCTGGGATCCGGTGAGTCGAAATGCGCCGAGACAAGCAGTGACGAGATAGGGGTTGAACTTGGTAGTGCCCGCCCATCTGCAGCTCTCGTGAACCATCACTTGATGGAGGCGCCTAGGAGATTTGGTGTTGAACTCTCCAAGTTAGGAGGATGTTGGTAAAAGTAAAGGAAGCTTCCAAGTGACAGACAGGCGGGACTGGAGGGAACCGGCACCTTCACTGATTGAGATACGTACCTATTGAGAAGCACTGGCCATCTAGAGAGGTCTTGGCCCAAGCTTGGACGGGTAATTACATAAGCCCGAAAATCTCCACTTTCCAGGCACAGCGGCGGCGTCCCGCGTTGGTTTGCCTCCGAACAGGTCGTCCGTCATTGGCCGAGCTCGGGGTTGTCGTCGTTGCCCTCTTTCGTTGCATTCGCACTTTCATATGATTTTCATTATCGAAACTCTCGCCTTCAACAAATGGGACTCGGACAACAATAACTGCCTCAAAGATATCCCGGCAACTTATTCCGAAAGCGAGTCACATCCAGGGGAATGTTGACTCACACAACTTACAAGCCTTACGACAGCTCCACGCATTGCATGGACCAACAACACCAGCCACGAATTGAGGCCTCAGTTTGGCGTGCGCGTCCTCTCTGCTGCCAGTGGCGAAGAATCAAGCACCATCTCAGTGACCACCCACTATCCGCAATCTGAAGCTGCACCCGATTCCCATGTGCTTGAAGTGTGGCACACGCAAGTTCCCAACTCCCGAACTCATCGCAAACTGACACAGCGGGACCGAGTTACGCCACACTCCACCCCGCACTTCACCATATCCCGCTGCCAACAGCCCATTCCCGGGCCCGGGCTCTAGGCTGCTCAGCTGAAGCTTTTTTGCTCGGTCCCGCGCGGGCTGCGTAACACAACTGACATGGGACGTGTCAAAGAAATGGCGGCGATAGCGGCGTTCTCTCCAAGGCAATCAAACAATACGCGGCTTTTCTCTAGCAGTCTAGAGTCATGAAGGCGTAGCTAAGGAACCTTCTTGTTCGGTCTCCGACTACGCCTGAATCTACACTCCGCCGCGGACATTTCCCCTACGCCATCAACAGATTGGTCTGGTTCGGAGCTCGGTGTAGAAGTCTACCGCCCACCGACGGGGATCCAATGAGCTGTTTGGGCCGATCGCCCTACCACGACGACGCGTGGCGATGTTGTACCTCCCCCCATGTGCCCATGTCCTTTCCCTTCGAAACCATTCTGACCTGTTCGACCGCTCGAGGCTAGAGGTGTATTGAGTGTGGCTCTGACTGGTTCGACCTGGTGCTTTCGCAAGTGTTTTTGCCTTCCACGTTTTGCCAGTAGTGTATCAGACGAAAGGCCTACGCATGCTCCTGCCTTGTAAATGATATGGCCCTGTCGTCGTCGTCTCCTGATATATAAATGAACTCCTTTATCGTCATCATGCTCTTTCTTTCCTTTCCCTCCTCAGCTTCATTGCTTTCCGACAATCATCACCATACTCACCATCCTACTCCTCACTTACACAAACCTCATCAACTCACACCCACAAACAACCACACATTCACATACAACAATCCAACATGTCTTGGGCAGGTCCAAACGGTAATAACAATCCTTGGGGTCGCCCAGGTGGCCCTCAAGGCCTCTGGAGCTTCATCCACTCCCTCGACCCCAACATGCGCGCCGGCGCCGGTGTAGACCACTCCACCGGCCCCGGTCCCTGGGCAAACGTCCCCCCAGGCTTCCCCTTCCACGGTGCCGAACACCCCTTTGGCGGCGGCCCCGGTGGCCCTGGCGGCTGGGGAGGTCCCTACGGCGGTTGGGGTGATTTCCGCGGTGGATTCGGTGGTCGTCGCCGCGGTGGCGGTCGATGCGGCGGCAGAGGTCACCACGGACGACGCGGCGACATGAACGACGGCGAGGGCGAGGTCGTCGACGAGACCATGCACAACGCAGACGATACCCCCGAAGAGGGCGACTTCTCCGACAAGGAAAAGGACGACTCCCCCGATACCATGCGTGACGGTCCCAACGAAGACGGCCCCGAGCACGCAGGTCATCCCCATCCCCACCCTCACCACCACCATGGCCCCGGCCGCCGCGGCGGTCCAGGCCGCGGAGGTCGCGGAGGTCGCTTCGGCGGTGGACCCCCCGGCGGCGGATCCGATCCCTGGGGCGCGCGCCACAGCAGACACGGCCACCACGGCCACCGGGGCCCACCACCTCCCCCCGGTCCCCCGCCCCCCTTCGGCGCACCGCACCCGCCTCCACCTCCTCCCCCGCCCTACGGCCACAACCCAGCCGGCACCTTTGATTTCGCAAACTGGCAAGAGTGGCTGAACCAGTTCGCCGACCACCCCTTTGCCCAACAAGTCCGCGACTGGGCCACCCGCTTCGGCGGTCTCAACAACAACGCCGCCGGCACCCGCGATGGTGGTGCGGCCGCCGACAACGACAACGCCGACATGGACTCGGCATTCACGCCCCCCGTCGACGTCTTCTCCACGGACCGCGCCTATGTGCTGCACTTTGCCCTCCCCGGCGCCAAGAAGGAGGACGTCGGCGTGAACTGGGACGCCGACAAGGGCGAGCTACGCGTCGCGGGCGTCGTATACCGGCCCGGCGACGAGGACTTCCTGGCGGCTTTGGCGTCCGGGGAGCGGAGGATCGGAATGTTCAGCCGGTCTGTGCCGCTGCCGCCTCGTACGCGTCAGAATGCTTCTGCTGCCTCGGAGAGAGGGGAGGAGATTGACGCGCTGGCTATCACGGCCAAGATGGAGGATGGAATTTTGGTGGTGACTGTGCCCAAGGTTGAGAAGGAGTGGACTGAGATCCACAAGGTTGATATCGAGTAGAAGAGTCAGATGTTTGCTGCTTCTTACGCGAGAAGGAAGTTTTCTTTTTGGTGGAAACGGTTGGATGTAATGGAAGCTTCACGGTCAATGATGTTGGAGTTTGAGATATTTTGAATTTCTTGGGTTTGGCTTGGAAGTGTATTTGGTACTAGGGTAGTTAGATAGCTTCAACAACTGTTGACACCATTATTCTGATATTGCTCATCTGAAAGTGAAAGTGAATATGCAATATTGTCAGGCCAGTCAACTTCAAACAGTGTTTCTAAACGAGCCAACATCGCAGTAGACTAAACAGCAACATTCGACCTCGTTGAGTGACTCTCTAAGCTTCACACTACCACATATCTAACCCGAACAATGGCAAAGGCTTGCCCATTTCCAAGCTTCTCCATCTGTCCTTTGTCGAACGCATACCTGGGCTTCTCAACCACGCTGGGAAGTTACTCTCGTCATGTTACGAATAGAAATTGGAAGCCCGCACAGGTAGTAGAAAAGCGGGCAGACTTGGTACGAATCTGTATATATATCCCAATTTTTGTTGTCTTCCCTTGTCCAACCCTCTATAGGGGGGGGGGGGAGGGGGTTTGCTGTGAAGAGGCCCCCTATATCATCTCCACCACCAATAAGGGTAAGTGGGTAGCCTGCTTACCCTGCCTGGTATTCAATTCCCTTGGGGGGGGGGGGGGGGGTTAAAATTGCAGTGAAACCTCGATTCGTTGGTCAGGATCCTCAACGCTGCAGTCGGTGAGGGGTCAGCTCAGCCTAGTGCCTGCATATCTAGGCACATCAACGGACTTCATTACATCAAAGCAAAGGCAAATGAACTTGTTAGCACCTATTGAAGTATTTGCTCTACTTCTTCTCAACCGACCTCAAAAAGTTCATGGCATTACCTTCCAGAGAACCTCATTTAGATCTGGTCGTATCGATTTTAAGATTTGATACCCTATAGTTTAGAAACAAAAGCATTACGAGAAGTGAATCGAAAAAACGTAAATGTTTGTTACCAACTACGAAAGGCGAAAGTCTTGCCGTCGTGTCATTGGATGGATGCTGGCCACGTCCAGTCCCTTCTAGTGGGGTTAAAATTGCAGTGAAGGGCCAAGATCCGCGACATGGGATTTAATGCGGTCAGCATCAACTACACGACTTGTCAACCTGTCCAAATTTCTTTTTTTCACGAGGAAAAAGACACTACTTGATCGCTTCGTGAATAATTACCCAATAAGACCAAGTCAACTAACATTGTCAATGATGCAGATTGAAGTTGGAAAACCCATTCGTTGAACGAGTAAATAGCCTTTCAAAAGCATATGTTTGTGTGGTAGGTACCGATTCTCAGCTGGAGGAGAACATCATGGACTCACAGGGCCACAGATTCTCGCATTCTTGAGGCAGTTATCGTGAAAATATGGACAGTAAAAGTTCGAGAGAAAAGAATTGCGTTTCGCTGTGGCGTATTCTGGACTTCACGGTATTGCCTGAGTAGGTAGCCTGGGATAGCTGTCTTGTTTTCCCTCAACATCGACTGACAATGGCACACCGGATAAAAGGACTTATTTTGACACAGGTAGCAAATGGGTGCAAGTAGGGGCCTTGTGCTCAATGAATGTCTACATGTTCAAGTAGGATACGTTATAATATATGTAGTCGCCATCGCAAGAAGCAATAAACCATGCTCCGTACCAAAACAACGCAATCAAGAAGGGTGGGCATAAGACACACCAACCCTACCAGTTTCTAATAGACCATCTTTATACGATTCCGCTACAATACACAATACATCAAAAAGAAAACAACACAATTCGCTTTTTCCAAGATAAAAGGTAAAACTACTTTAGACACCACACACTGACACACCTAGACCACCCAGACAATCCTTACTTACCAATACTCCCTTGCATTGCCCTCAAACGCAAAGTTAAGCAGGACGGCAATGAACAAGGAAGCGCAGAGCGCGCTAGGCCCCCACTTGTCGTAAAACTTGGCCGCCTTGCGGTTGCGGATGGCGTTGCTCCGGTACAGGTAGATCACGACCGAGTAGCAGAGCGACATGATGGCGAGGAGGGTGAAGACGCCGGCCACGATGAAGGACATGGGCGTGGGCTTGGAGCCAAAGTTGAGGAGCGTGACGGCGACGGTGCCGACGTAGATGGAGTATTCGAGCTATTTTTTTTTTTTGGTTGTGTTAGCAGCTGTTCGGGGATTTCTTGTCAAGAGGATATGAGAGACTCACCCATCCGAGGAAGGTTCTCTCGGCGGCAAAGTACACCTTGGGTTCCACGCGGACCGGCACGTAAATCTTCTTGCCCTTGGGGGCCTTGAACCTCTTGGTCTGAATCGCCCCCGAGCCGAAGAGCGTCGTCTGTACTTCACGCCTGGGGATCACAGAGCCACGGGGATGCGGCACGGTCCACTTGAGCACGTCGATGGCGCGCTCGCCAAATGCTTGTGCCTTTGTGGAGGCAAGCGCCTTGTAGTAAGTCCAGCCTCCGACCCGTCTGGCTTCCTCGAGGGCCTCGTCGGCGTCGTACTCCTCGTCCGAGTCGTACAAAAAGTCTTCGTTGTCGACGGGGGCAATGGTATCGACGGTCTGGCCTTCGACATCGAGCGCGGTCCCGCCGTTCCTGGCAGCTCCCTGACCACTCGACTCTCCGTTGGTGGCACCGTTATTGCTGGCTACCAAGGGACCCTCCTCGTCATCAGAGTCTAGCTCGTCATCCTCGTCATCATCTGATGTAGTGGTAGTTGCCGACTGGTTGGGTCTGTGGATTCCAAAGTCGTGCGTAACGGGCTTCCGGATATCCACGTCCATCTGCGGCATCCAGAAGGGAA